TGTGTACTTGAAAGTTTTTTTTTTTTTCCAACTGTCTTCCTTGGTGTAACAACATATAATCTCTCCCTGAACCTTGCTTCTTTTTTGCATGAATATATCTGCATTTAGGTAATTAGTGAGAAGGAAACACAGAGGCAAATAAACGTAATTATTAAAACAAAAGACAGACTGATAGAACAGATGGAACTGACAGTTTGTGAAATAAATAGAAAAAGCATTTCTTGATTATTTCCCATCTGATCTGTTCATTCTGTTTTCAATGGATTTGTGAAGTTACTGGAAAAATTCAGACATATCTTATATGCTTCTAGTGTTATACACATCACGCCCCCCCCAACCCACTAGTGAGTAGTACTAAAGATAAGCTTAACAAAATTAGTATGTGAATACTAAAAAGATAGTAACTACATGTAAGATACTACTTCTTCAAAAGACACCCTCAGCATTACATTTTTCAGAAAAGGTCAGTACCCCAAATTTTAACACTCTGATATTAAATTCTCTTGCAACCTTTGTTATTGAGCAAGAAGGACAACAATGGGGGAGAGAGGAGAATGTTCTTTATGTTCCTAAAAATAATGCTAAGAATTAATAATCTAGATTGTGTAGGACCTTATATCCCAAGAGATACCACAGCATATTCTGCATATTTTAGAACCTGACAGAGCACTCATTGAAACTGGAGACCAACTTCACAAACCTTTCCTTTTTTGGTGGCTTATATGCAGCCACAATGAGGCCTTAATTCATCCTAAACTGGTTAGGTGAAAAGCACAACTTCTATTTCCAATGTGCACCTAATATTTACTGCATTCAGATTTAAAAAAAACCACCTTGAGATAGGAAGATAAAATAAAACTGTACCGTAACAGTAGAGGTTGGTAAAAGGAGAGTATGTCAAAAGGAGAGTATGTCCTTACAGGCTTATAGTTCCTCTGCATAATTACGGCTTTTGGATTGTCCTTTAGAAGAGATAAATCTTATTCTCGACTGTCTTTACTGAATGATAATAAGGGCTTGATTAGGTATAAAGTTTGCATTCTCAGCTGATCTGGCTGTGTGAGAGAGAGAGGAGTTCTTGCTGAATGACAATAAACCCAGCTATTTCCTATTTCTTCTAAAAATCACCCACCCATGAATTGGAGACTGGTTAAGAAAAACATTAGCCCTGAGATAAGTGTCTCACAGAGACCAGAGACAGATGTCATACATAGCATGGCCAGACACGCAGGTTGGAGGGATAAACCATTTCACCAAACAACGGAGCAGAACTTACAGAGAAAAATCTTTGAGATTCCTGTTTGCTGACACAATGACTCTTGTGAAGCATGGTATTACTTACTTCCTTCCTGAGCTCTTCTACTTGCCAGTATCAGTTTGGTAAAATTATAAACAAGCTCCAGTTAAGGACTAATTTGGCACCAGAAAAACACAAGATATTAGGAACAACTGGAACTTGAACTGAGGTTGGCAAGGAGAATTGAGACATATGGAGTTAACACTTCTTCCTCTCTACCACTGTAACTGTCTTCAACTCCATCAAACAACTTCTATTTGCTTCACTTTCCTCTAAGCCACCTTGGCTTTGTTAAAAAAAGAAACTATTTAGAAGATTCTCTTAACAATTCCTAGACACAGGCAGTGGTGGCCACACTAACCCAACTATCAGTCTGAAGAGGCAACAGGAGGCAAAGTTCTGTCTATACTTACATCCTGAATATGAAGTGAATTATATACTTATGTATGACACACAGAGATACAAACTGTTCCAGACAACCACGGCCCACACAAACGCTGATCAACAGACCCACTCCATACTCTTCAAAGTTTAAAAAATGGTAGTTAGAAGACTAATCTACTTTACAATAGATTTGTGATAGCTCAAGTCATACAGTTGCATTGCTTGAGAACACTGACAAAATTAATTATTCACCATACCTAGTCACTGTCATTGCTACCCACCAGACAACCACAGCACATCCCCACAGTATTTTATGTTTTTATAAACCATGCATTTAGATGAGATAAGACTAAAACTGTTGGAGTTTCATATTTTATGCCAAGTCTAGGCCTTTGGCTCGTGATTTCAGTTCTGACTTTTGCAACACAACTGTTGAGTACAGCTATGTTCATCTGGCTGGTACTTCATATCTCTGTGTATGTTTGCCTTACAGCATTGTCAAATACTAAGGTTGTTTCTTTCCCTGATGAGGACTAACATTTTCTCTTTAAGAAACAGACCTAAAATCCTTCAGAGAAATACAGCATACAAATATATCTATTTTATACATTTTTTTTATCAGAGGAGAAGTCAAAGTTATGATGTAGCTCACATAGTTTTGTTTAACAGTTTCTATTTTACAGCATTATTTCTATAGAGTTAACAATGAGACTTATGAATACAAGCTTAACTCCTGAAGTGGTACCTAAATAGTTCTTCTGTTCCTTTCCCTGTACAGATAAGAAATAGGAAGTCAGTTTTGGACTAAAGAACATGTGCAATGTCACTGATTGCTAAGCCTTATGCTGTGTAGGATTAACTTGGCAAAATATCTCAAAATATGAACAATAAAAGCCAAGCAGCATTTTCAGTATTTTCAATTCACTTATTAAAAATAAAGCTTTTCATTTCTTCCTCCAATGATATAGATACTCCAAAAGTATGTTTTAATACACTCATCAGTGCAACTATCAAAGGGTAAGTGTGTATTATAGAAACGAGCCCCCAGATTAAGTATATATTGTGAAATGTATGTGAATGTGCATGACTTGAACCAATGAACTGTGGCCTGAAATGATGTCACAGAATGTGCAGCATTAAGTGGAAGGTTAAACCTACTTGCATCTCGGTTCATTAAACGCAGTTAAAGTGCAAATTCCCTCATTCTGACAGTAGTAATCACAAGGGTTCACTTTCTGGTCACAGCGCTGACTTTTAAACCCCACAGAGCATCTGCAGAATTTCAGTAAAATAGACCTATATAAATATTCTACCTTTTGCTGAACAGATTTTAAAGGCATTATATATAATGATGGCAAGACACACACACACATATACACAGGCACACACCCACAGGTAACAAAATCAATACTCTGTTTTTCATGGAAGGTCCGATCTGACCATACTGAAAAGTTTGCTCATCAGCGTTGATCAAACACTTTTAAAGCAATGGGCCTGTACTGACTGATGGGTTCAGGATTCTAACATTCTTAACAAAGTATTACTGTCAAATGTACTACACATTTGTATTGATCAATGCAGAGTGCAATGGCCTTAAAAACGTTCACGAGTGTTTTCTTAGCATTGCTATCAGTGTTGGCATATGCTGCAGCATTTATGTATTGTACATCCATACACAAATTAATGCAGGAACTTGTTTTCCTTGAGATGCTATGGTGTTCCATATGAATTTGAAAAAAGAATAAGCCAGCTTTACAAGGAGAAAGAAAGGTAGAATCACAAGGTTCCGATATAGGCATTCTAGGTGTTCAAGCAAATGAATCACCAGACTTAATCATCATATTTGGGCCTTATATATTATAGCTGTGATACTCTGCTTCTGCTGAGATTTACAGGTCTCTCTAGTCCTCAAATAAAGACATTTAAGGAGATACAAATAACAGGTTAAAAGGGCTGGATCTAAATAATAATCAGAAAGAGACACAGGAACTTAAAGCATTTTCAGCTGAATAAGGACTACCATGCAGAACTGCATTCCACTGTCTCTAACCCCAAAGCTGCAAACACCTATTGACAACTTCATTTCAATAGTCCAGCAACTACAGTTTTGCCCCTTTGCACATTCAGAAGAGCTTGAGCTCTCACGGGGAGGAACAGTTGGTCCATCTCTTGTACTGGTCAGCCTACAAAATCTGGGCATTTCTCTGTGTAACTTCCTTGAGAGTCTGAATACAACAGGTGCTCTCTTTTAAGTTCACCTACCTCAATACACATCAACAAAATGAAGGGATGGCTGTATCTGTATTTACAAAGTTGTAATGCCAGATCCCTTTGGACAATAACTTACTTATGTCACCCTGAAAAACGAGACACTTGAGTTCAATTCTCTCTTCCAACACCTTATACGTTCCTGGAGGATGCTCTGACCTCAGGTTGTTCTGAGAAGTGGAAGACTGTTCCACAATGAAGCTTTTCAGTGGTGCGGAGAAGATCGAATCATTTATTAGGCAAAAGTAAGAAAACAAGGACTATGACTAGGTAGCTCAGTGTAACTGACAGCGGGAAAGAAATTAATTTCTTGCTACAGTGACTACTCCCGTATTTTATATTTAGCAGCTGAAAAAGAAGATACACCATAGCTCTCAAGAAAGGACTAGAATGTAAGCTTTCCTACCTCTTAGGACAGTACTTCACCGTCTAGACTACAGAATCACCTTTCCTTTGGTATTTGATGTCTAGGCTTAAGAAAAGCATCCTGAATTATTCTCTCGCCCATGGTGCAGGAGGGAGAGAGCAGTCTTACCACAGAACAGCCAAGCTACTGTGGGCAGTGTGAAGGTTAGGGCAGAAACAGGAGATACACGAGCATATCCTCAGAGCCATAAAGGAAATAAACACTGACATTATTCTGCCTATTCTCTAGACATCAGGAGGAGGGTATTGCCCCCACTTCTGACCATGTTTATAGGAGAGAAGACTTAATTCACCTTTGAGAAGCAGGGGAGATCAACCATCCTGTACCTCCTGATTCCATTCCTGAACAAATGCCTAAATGGGCTTTAGAAGTCTCAAAAGATATATTTTTGTATCTATATGCATTCACAATATATACCTTAGTTATCTCTTTCAATGCACATATTGCGAAAAGGTAGACCAAAGTATCAGTTACAGAAATAGCTAGAAAAAGTACTGTAAGTTATGACTGCAAGCAGCACATTATATATCCTAGAGAGAGAAAAAATACAGACACAGGCATAATAATTATATTATTTGTTGCCACACAGATATTTTAATGATCTACACAACGCAAGATACTCACAGACAGACAGGTATATTTGTCTCTGGGTCCAGCTGACACGTACCACCGTTGTAACAGTAGCCATCACATAACTGACAGGTAGAGGCAATCTTTCCATTAGTGCAACTGTCATGGTGAAGAAAAAATACAAATAGTAATCAGTATTTTATTATATCTGATAAATTCCCTTACAATTCCCTTACAATCCAGAGAGACCTGGACAGGCTGGAGAGGTAGGCCTGTGTGAACCTCATGAGGTTCAACAAGGCCAAGTGCAAGGTCCTGCACCTGGGTCGGG